CAAGCATGCCTCAAAGCCATGGGTGTCGGAGCTTTCATCAACGGTAAACCATAAGATGCATACTAAGAAGCCATTAGAGACTGTTCCTCAGTCCAGAGGACCAAGTTATCACGTTGGCTAGCAACCTTCGAGGGCACGACTACGAGCGCGTCGTAATCGTTCAGGGCCGCGTCAAGTCGTTCATGGCGAGAAACCTATGCGTTGGGTCCGAGCTGAATCAGCCTCCTACTCTCCTATTCCATGTACCGGTAGCAAGTCCAAATCAAGCTACTTGAGGATGGCGTGGAGCGCACTGGTTAACGAAGAGTGAAGCTATTGCTAGGCGCGTGCCACGGGCAAACATCTGTATATATACGATACGCCCTCTGTTGTTAACGGCGTATGATTGTTGTACGGTTGTTCTGGTCTGTGTGCACATGCCTCGATAAGCCAGACAATGCGTGAACGGCCGGGTAAAGTATGCGCAAGGAATATGGCGGATGTTAGAAGATACCAGTAATGGTTTCCCCTGGTTTCGCGATTAAGTCGAACTTGTTGATCAGGCCAATACGTGGTCGGAATGTGGTCACAATGCAACAGTTTGGTGTTGAATGCAGTTACCTCGCGTCCTGATGGCGAACGTCTTACGACAACAACTGACATGTACTCCGCGGATGATGCGTGGGAGACTTGGATGATAACCATCGTCTCAATTGTTTACAGAAGGAAGGAATCTCAATCCAACGAACTTACTAAACTTCCAAAAATGGTTCGTTAACCCCGCTTTTACATTGTTTGGTTTGGGTGGCTGAGTACGTGTATAGATTTCAGACTTAGTGAAGTATATCTTCCCGGCAGTCTGAAATGTTAACTCATGAAATTGAACGGCCATTGTGTTTGAACGCAGGTGAAATTCCATTCGCAACGTCGAGCAAAACATAGAGCCAAATATTTTATCGATGTCGGCTGGTGCATTATTTGCCTCCCACTTAAGGTAAGGCACATGCCATACAAGGCGGCACGTGAACGCTGTTAATCTTTCTGTACTCCCAGCCCATATTTCGTCCAACAAACGCGATAGACACCTCCGATAAATGGGGGACGAGGCGTTAAATGGGCGCCCACTCGACTACAGTTCAAGAGAGTTGTGCAGCGTGGTCTTTGCTTTCCGAGTCGGTGTTACAACGGCCGGCCATGGGATAAAATTAGACGTGGAAGCTGACCAGGCGCTTCACTGCCCCTAGAATTCCATGCACCTGGTCGTTCGCTAAACATTGCACCAATGAAGAATGTCCCAAGCCCATAATAAGAAGAGATCACTGGCCTGGACCTCCGCTCCGATGACATGATTAGGCTGAAAATCTGAAAGCTCCAGATCAACGACGTCAAGGGCACCAATCTGGACAAAGCGGGCGTCAGGTCCCGAGCGTCGACCGATGTCTCGCAGTTATGCGGAGTCGCGAGATATCTAAGCAGGAGCTCCGAGGCAAAAAAGAACGCATTCTGCCTTGTATTTAGTTCGGATGAACTTTTCATCCTGAACAGACCACGTTGTTTTATGCTGAGCAAAATGAAGTCCAGTTTGGCTCGTAGCATGCGTTTATCGCCTGTGCGAGTTCTTATCCATCGTCGCACACCCGTGTGGCACGCATCAGACGGAGGCGGACGCCACACCAACAAATGCGCTCAGTCTCATTACCAGTACGCTGAGGCCCGAGAAATCAGGTTATGCGTAAAAGAAGGTAAGGAGTGAGACCGATTCCGCAAAGATCAACGCAATCCTCACTATAATACAACGGACACAAGGGGTATATAAAAACATACTTCTATTTGGCACGGTCGTGATCGTGGCTGATCTAGCCGGTTTCGGTGTCGCGAATCGTACCACTCCCTGCCAGGCAATTTCCAACAACGGTTTCGGTGAGTTCGATCCATTATTTCCTCCAGCGACAGAGACCGAGTGTCGAAGGTCCAACAACCGTTTCTATGTTCTGACGGACTGCCTTGAGGCAGTTTTCAAGTTCACCTCTCCGAGGCCTCCAGGTTTGCAGCGACGGCGAATAAAGAATAGCAATACTGAACTCATGGATCAGGTGACGAACAACGTGCTCAAACCATCCCCGCGGAGCCCTATGGATGGCTTGAGATATCCTCGCGATGTTGCCTCACAGAGTGTCAACTGCCTCATTGAGACGGAGTTGGTGTACTTCACTCGAATAAAGGTTCTCAGACAACGGTCATAAAACACCTTCGGCGTCCACTCATCTTCCACGCGCATAACCCAGCATTCACAACCGCGCACGTGCAGCAGGCCAGGCTGACCGTTGCGGCAATGGAGATATCACGGCCGGTTGATAGACACTTTCTAAGAATTGCGAAAACTCTGACAGCAGCATTGACTCGGGTGACGTTATTGTCCTTACTCTGTTCATTCGGCAGGAGCCTCGCTTCGAGGGATTTAACACTGCTCAAGTCTTAAAGCTCACAGCAATTAATCCCGAGGGGACGCCCTCTTCTGGTAAAGGGGGCAGATCGAAAACATCTTGGTCTTCGCTGCGTTTGTGGATAAACCGACGGAACTAGCAACTTCATTTAACTTCGGCTCCCCAATCTGCAGGTGATCAAAGCCTAACGCTAGCATGTTGATATCGTCAGCCGGTGTCCGGGAGCAAACTCGATACTGTCAAAGTCGTGTGGGGGCCACACGATGGTCCAGTTAGTGTACTGTCGACAGAGAGTTTGCAGATTTCCGCCGGAATACCATCCTCTCCGAGGGACTTGTTGTTGCACGGTCTCAGAATTGCATTGGGTTTCTTCTTGGGAAGAAGAGACGTGTGATGCAGCAGATGGAGAGGGATAAAAACTCCGCTAGGAAGAAAAGAGATGCTGGGTTGGTTGTCGAAGTTAAGGTGCTCGAAGTGCTCACGCCAGAGCACGACCTTCGCCGACTTGTCAGCAATAAAGTTGTCACTCACACCGCAAACAGTCATTCAGTGCATAAGCTTATCACCAACTTTAGGAGCAATTTGGCAAGGTTTTCGAGTCGCCGGCATTTGAGGCCAAATACATGGTGGTGGCCACTCGGATCAATAATTTATGCAACCACCGCTATTAACTTTGCCGTCATTTCCCAGAGTTTGCAGAATGATTCGTACTGGAGTTTGGGTCGATTAGTTTGGGCAGACAGCTGTAAAGCCCTTGAGCTGGCTCAGTCATTGCGATGTGGATGGGTGAATCTGAGGATTCTCTCGGCTATCTCAAAACGACCGCTTTCTATTACTTTCACCTCTGACTCAGGTCACGAAGAGAGACTGGATTCCTGCGCTAGGACCCTCAGCTGCTCAGAGCTTCCGTGGCTTTGCGACATAAGGGAATCTTGCACACAACGGTCTGAGATGAATGATAGACGAACTTTAAGGAAAAAAGGGTCCGCCCAAAGGCGTTGCCACTTTCGGCGCGACACAACGGCCCATTATCACGCATCCAACTATGGGGCTCCGGACTGGCTACAATGTGGTCAATCCGGTTGGATACGAGACCACCTCCCGAATACCGGGCCATGAGATGCGACGATGTCTTAGGCGCGCGTTAGCGACAACTATCTGCTTATAGTCAGCGAAGCTCAATACTATAACATCGAGAAATGACCCCGGGGCAGCCAAAAAGGTAACTATCTGAACGATTGTAAGGCCTAGTCCCCGAACTATCGAGCGTCATGCTGACCACAGGGAGGAGGGCGATCCCGGCCGGCTATGTTCCTTGATTTGTTATGTGGCAAGAGTGGTAGCGGCCCATTCCAGATGACGCTACATCTTACGTCTGAGCAGGCATTTATGTCCGTCTCCACGCGCATTAAACCCGCTGGCCCCTCATGTCTCACGAAAGACTTCACTCGGACGCCATCTCGATAACATATTTGGCATTATTTTAGACTCGTTGTAGCAGCGTCGCCGACTTTCCTGCGCCCTATCCGTAACTACTAGGTCATTAATTGATAGCGCTGAGATTTAAATTGACTTATTCTAGGTCAGAGGGTGGCGAAAAAGACTATAAATAACTAGTCTAGCCTGCATTACTATACTCCGCTGACAAAATGTGGATGAGACTATTCAAAACAGCGTGCTAAGATAAAGAAGGTGCGAGGATAGTCTTTGCGGCAAGTCCCCAGAAGACTTCAGTGGTATTGTCTGCAAAACACTCAGCAGAGACACCACAAGTAAACTGGATGCTTTGACGGCTGGTGAGAGGTCGCACCAACGGTCAGGATCTCCTCCTAGCCGAATAAAATATAGCTGCGTGCATTAGGTAGAACAATACCTCCCATGTATGGAGATGAAGTGGTTGTCCCACTAACATCTACTGCATATTACCAGATGTAGACTAAAAGCTAACTGCTTATGTAGTAAGGCTCGTTGGGGGTAAAGACGAGAGAGACGTTCGGAGAAGACTGGTGGGTCCAATATCGACTTTAACAGACTATGGACACAATTATATTCGCAAAAAAGGATAATTCATACAGCATATTGTGTAACTAAATCGCAAAGATCAGACAACTTCATGTCCTACGTTTGTTAATGGAACCAGACCTTATTGATCTAAAAAATCAACAGCCCACAGCAGTGGCCGAGGTAGGCTAATAAGACGACTCGCTGACTAAAAGCTAGAGGGGTGTGGTACTTAGTCCATGTGCACACCCCGCTTAGGCTTACGCAGTCCCCTCAGGAGACCGTCTGTTTTACCTTCATCTTGCTTTCCTAGCAAAAACAAAATCCCCCAGAGTAAAAGTTGACGACAAAACAAGCAGAGTATTTTACAGCAGGTCAGAAATTTCGGGAGTATTTAGTAGACAAATCCGGTTCATTGGGAAAAGAAACGCGAGAAAAGCACTGAATTAGCAGAGAGGATAAATATAAGTACTCTCGATGAAGGATACAGAGGACAAGTACGGACATGTAAAATGGAATGTGCCCTACGCGGACAGGCGAGAGATATTTGGGAGGAATTGTCATTTGAGGATCGAATTACTTCGCAGTAAGAATCAAGGCCAAGATTAGTCCGTATAGTCCCAGTACCTCCGCAAAGATAAGAATTAGAATCATCCCGACGAAGACGCGGGGTTCTTTGCTATAAGCTCGAACGCCTGCATCGCCAACAACGCCGATGGCATATCCTGCAGCTAATCCACTCAATCCAACGCTGAGTCCAGCACCGAAGTGACTGAGCGACCTACACAAATCGTGATATCACGAAAGTACACATACTGATGCAGTGTGTATTCGAGTCCTACTTGACCGGCAATCAAAACAGACACAACGAGTCCATAAACAGCAATAATACCAGCCATTACAATTGGTATCAGGGATTTCATTATTAATTCGGGTTTCCTCACGGCCATGCATGAGATACCCATGCTGGACTTAGCAGTTCCATATGCAGCACCACAGGCTATGAAATAAAGTTTCGAACTAGTGAGCGGAGTTACCACAAAATATCATAGACGCGGACGTCCCGATAATACCAAAGAATGGAGCGTAAATAGGGGGTACGACGTCCGCCATAATGCACAACACACACCCAAAGACACACAGGTGACCAGCAAATTCACCAATGGCTCAGGAGGAACCATGTAAGAAATGCACACGTCTAGTTCCCAAGGTCCTGATAAAGGAATAACGCATTTAAGTAAAATTGACCGTGTCGTTAAAAGCCACCCTTTGAGATATGTTAAATCCTTCCTTACAGAGTCTGCGCACTAGCAATACCTAAGATAGATTTCGAAGTTTTCGTCGAAAATGTATTATGAACGGTTAGAAGGGTGTGGTCAGCAGAACAACAGCCAGCAAATCAGCACGCGACAAAATCACCGTCTGCACGACATGCATGTCGGTAACCGGAAAAAAAGATGATGAAAACAAAACAGGACGCCAAATGTCGCCCGAAAACATAAATTTCGAG